AGTCAGCAGGGTTACTGCCCTTTAAGAAGCTGCCTATATAAGGGAGGCCATTAGAGGGCGTCTCTCTCCTTGTGTATCATTCTTCTCCTCACGTATATCTGCATTGTAGTTCTCTGTGTAGAGCTGAAGATTGATTGTTTGCCTGGCTTTGCTTAGCACATGTATGTATGTATGTATGTATGTGTATATATGTATATAGGAGCCTTGGTGGCGCAGCAGACTAAAGTGCTGTTAAGTAGCACCAGCTGCCTGCAATTACTGCAAGTTCAAATCTCACCAGGCTCAAGGTTGACTCAGCCTTCCATCCTTTCAAGGTAGGTAAAATGAGGACCCGGATTGTGGGGGCAATAAGCTGACTTTGTATAAAAAAGAACACCGCTTGGGGGCGGGGGCAAAGCCCTACTAAGCAGGTACATACAAAAGTATGAAGGCTATTGCTTAATGCATTGTAAGCCACCCTGAGTCTCCGGAGAAGGGCGGCATATAAATCGAATCAATCAATCAATCAATCAATCAATCAATCAATCAATTTGTAGATAAACCAGTTTGTAATGACACAATCTTTGTGTCCTGTATTTTCCTCCTTGGTTGTCTCAAAATAGTAGTCATGCTGTAAACACTATGCCAAACTGCAGGCAGCCAGCAGGCAGCAGAAGTAACCTGCAATACTGCATTCTAACCACCTGCGCCACCGTGGTTGTTACTACTAGATGCCCTTAACTAATTTGTCCTGCCTTCAAGCACTTATGACTCCAAAGGCTTACTATATTTGCAAGATAAACCAACATAGGAGACTGGATAAATAAAGGAAACCTTATAGGGAATTGAGTTTTTCATTTTTGCCCAACCACAAGAACTTAAAGGCTGAAAAAAGAAGCCTAAAAGAGTTCAAAGTGGGCTTAGAAATGATGTCTTTAAACTTTTCCCTCTAGTGGCAACCATAATTAAGTCTCTGTTTGAGTGTCCCCTCCAATCTATGCTAAACGTACAAAAATGACATCATGTGTTTCAGATGCTTACAGCAAATGCACAAGATAGGGAAAGGAAAGAAGCAATGTACAACCAGTTTATAAATTCCTAATTCCTAACTTTAGTTTATGTCAGATCTATATCTATTTATTATAAAAATAACTATTCAGTATTTTTAAATTGGCACGTCTAATATAAATGTTTATCCCAAACTACTTCAGTTTGGTTTACGGAGGAAAATCACTGGGCATAATTAAAAAACAATGTGTTATTCTGCCAAGTGAAATAATATTTCACAACCCATGTGCACAACTCCAGAGGAGTAAACTCCTAGTCCATAAGTCAAGCTCTGAAACAGTCTTTCCCTAAAATGGTACTTTCCACACACGGATGGAGATTATGGAAGTTGGTGTCACACATCTGGCTGGCACTTTGTTGGGAAAAAAGCTGTCCTGAATATACACTACAAAGAGAACCATATTAAACCCAATATATCAAGGACAAATCACAGAATTCATTTTGAAAACAATTTTCAGACTATTGTTACCAAATGTACTACTGCCCTCTGCTGTATATTTTAAGAATAAATATAAAAAACAATTCACTGTAACAACTGCTTCTCTCAGGCTACTGATAAAGCAGTTATTTACAATTTTTAAAAAAGAAATAATTATGTGCAATTAGTAATTAATAAGCAAATGCACAATACACAATGATTTTCAGATCTGTCCTTCAAGTGTATTGACACATACTAATGTTAAGCCAGATTCTTGAATCAATCAAACAAAAAAATGTTAAAAGTTACACAAGTGGTAGCTTGCTTTGCCAAGTTCAGTTGAAATATTCAGAAAGAATTTGGGCCTTTTTTTATCTCCATGAAAAAATAAAGCCCATGTTTAAATATCTTTCAAACAGAAACCTGTAGGCTTGCAAGCACATAATACCTACTCAATCGGGCTCTATGTTTATTTACAAATATCAAGACATCCATAAACACCTTACAATTGAAAAAAGAAAAAGTTGAGCAATACACAATGTTTGAGTTCTGCAAAGCATTCAATGGTAGCATTTTGCAAAGCAACCTAGATGAGTAAAACGTGTTTCCATGAAATTCTAAAGCAGAACCCTCGGAAAGACAAGACTTCCAATGAAAGCAAATCAGCACAGATACACACATATGTGCACACACACATACACACAAAGAGAGAGCCAGAATTGGTTTCCAAAAATAGCCTTTTAAGATTTCTGAAGGACAAGCTTGCTTTAAGATGTTTGCACTTTACAAAGGGCCTCTTCTGAATAAATTATATATCACAATACCATCATTTTTTCCTGGTAACAGAAAGCAAAAGGGGAACTTTTTTCCTCTAATTTTCAAAGTGAATGTTTTATGCTAAAAGATACTTTTAACGTATCAGCTTTGCTGATATGAAGTAGAATTGAAAACCCTAACCAACCCAATTAAAACCCAGAATTTTGCTATGTTTATGGAACAGCTCTGCTTGTGACATCTCCAATTTCAAAAATGGCCTACTAGCTGGCATTTAGATGGAAAAGAAAAGTACTGGTATGTTTTGGCTTTCAAATACAGGCTACTTGTACTAAAAAAAAATAGGATTAAGCAGATTTGTTGTTTATCTATAGATGATCAACTCTCTGCCAACTACAACCAAAGTTAGGACTCTTAACAAGAATGTACCTATTGACTTATTTGAAAAAATAACAGGCAATCCACTCCATCTAGTGGCTGTCCCTGAACAAGCTGAATTCCTATCAGTACATTTTTCTGTACTAAAAGAACAACAAGACTGAGTGGTAATTTGCTATGTAAATGCTAAGGACATTTTAGATCTACTTGAAGAGCTATCAAAACAATTCAAATCAGTTTGCAATGTCCATCCCCAATGTCACAGGCCTAGCAAAGGAAGTCATTTCAACCTAGATTTATTATTTATGGCCTTTGTTAAAAAGATATGCCCATAAATGATCTATATACTCCTTAAAGGTTAAAAAAATGTTATGGACTTCACCGGATCACTTGGGGGAGGGGAGGGGGGCGCTGAGGCGTTGTTCTGTCAGAAATATCAGAATCCAGGGTAACTTAATTTTTTTCTGTATCCGTTTTTTGCCAAAGAAACACAAATGACTTAAAACAGAAGGGTGCTAAGAGGGGAATTCTGGGAGTTGTAGTCTTGTGACAGCTGAAGAGCTAATTTAAGGTAAAATCTCCCTCTTCCCGTCTCTCTATGAAAGAATGTAGACCTGCCCTTGAGGAGGAGGAAAGGCGCAAACAACCATTAAGGGAAAACAATTGTCAAAACACAGTCCTGAGGAAGTGTAAAATGTGATAAAGAAATTTAAAATAGCCCTGCCTTGATTTTGTTTGATATATAAGGGAGTAGAGTAAAACTGATACACTTCCAAGATTTTGTTATTGTAATCTGTAACAATAAAAAAAAATTCTGGAATCCCTGAGGCTTTTGTTTCTTGACCTTGCCTCCCCTCAAAGAGTTGGCACATTCTCTCACACACATACCTACACAGTGCAACATAATAGAAAAGGAAATAGGGAGTAGCTGCAATCAATGCTATGTAACATGCCTGTTTTGCTAGTCTTTACTAATTGTTCAAATACTTGTACAACAATTCTCCTTATCCCATATGATTTCCACTTTGACTGAAGCTGACAAGATTAAACTACCCAGGTTGGAGAAGGTTAAACAAGACATTATCACACAGCAAAGAGATGTCAATATTGTTTAGTTGGGGATCTACTTACAGGTTGAGGTTCAATTAAATCTTCCCTTCTTTTGATTAGAATTCAAGAGAAGAATCATCTCTGGGCCACTGTACTATTATTCTTACCATGAATGTGATGTTTTCCTTGATTGCAAATGCCACAACAGCTTTATACGAAAGGAAAAATTAAAGCCCCAAAGTCCCAGAAGAAAATCTCAGCCTCCTAAACCTTAAAGTGGATCTAAAAGAATAGCTACATTTATTTCATTACACTATTTGTATATCAACTTTTTATTCCACTGAATATACTCAAAGGAGCTAACAATAATTAAACTATGAAAAAGGTTAATAATCACTGCTAAAATGAGGTTGGGCAGTAATAAAGACAATCTTCTAGAAAACCCATCCTCATCTGCATTGCTTTTTCTCTCCCCACCAAACATACAAATACACTATTGTTACTATACCACTATGTACAATAACTATGCCGATACAGTATAATAAAATTGCCAATCTCTGTTACCCACAAGGCCTCAGTTCTGCTAACTTAGCATAGCAGTTCTGTGTCTGTACAGCAGGAATGGGAAACCTGTAATTCACCAGATGTTCCCATAGTAAATCATAAGGAATAATGGGAGCTGTGATTCAGCAATATTTAGTCACAAGTTCTCTATGCATTCAAGCATGGTAGCTGTCCAAATGCTGAACCTGGAGCTCAAGAAGAATTATCATAAGAAAGTAGCTGCCACCCATTGTCTTCCCTTTAACAGCATTATACAGGTAGTCCTCGATTTACAGCAGTTCATTTAATGACAGTTTGAATTTACAAGAGCACTGACAAAAGTGACTTATGACCGTTTTTAATGGTTTTAACGTTTTAACACTTATGACCATTGCAGCATCCCCTGTGGTCATGTGATCAAAATTCAGACATTTGGCAACTGACACATATTTATGACTGTTGCAGTGTCCTGGGGTCATGTGATCACCTTTTGGGACCTTCTGACAAGGAAAGTCAATGGGGAAACCAGATTCACTTAACAACCGTGTTTCCAATTTAACTGTTGTGATTCACTTAAAAACTGTGGCAAGAAAAGTTGTAAAATGGGGCAAAATTCACTTAACATATGTCTCGCTTAACAACAGGAATTTTGGGCTCAATTGTAGTCGTAAGTCGAGGACTATCTATAGTTATGGGCAGTGATCATCAGTAATATAACTGTGACTGTATTATGCATTAATTTCCAAAAAAGGAAAAAAACACAGTTAAAAGCAATTACAAGGAACCTTACCTTTTTTGCCCTCTGTCCTATATCGGGTGTTTTTGTAAGTAGTTTTTCAATCAAGTATTCTCTAGTCTGTAAAGATCAAGATTGTTATAATTAAGTCTAGCCCCAAGAAGCAGAAGCATTCATACTGATCTCAAATCAGGGTTTACTTGCTGAATTAAATATTTTACCTTTGCTTTTTGGAAGAATTTGCACTTTAAAAGTTCTGCTGCAGTAGGCCTAAAAGATAGATTAAAAAAGGCAATTTAGAATATCATTCAAGCATTGTGTTGATGGACCAGGACTACTACATGTTATTTAGAAAATTCACCATTCAACATCCGGTGAAAAGTATTAAGAATGTATACTTGATTTCAATATCCTATGTTTTTCTTTTTTAAAAAAAGATAAATTACACTTTATATATAAGATCAAAATGATGAAAATGCCAGATTTAAAAACATGGATTTACTAATATTGCTATCCATATTAAAAAGTTGTTTAAATAATTTCTTGCAACCTATGTCAACTGTTCCCAGAAGCCCTGGTGGTGCGGTGGTTAAAATGCAGTATTGCAGGCAAACTCTGCCCACAGCCTGGAGTTCGATCTTGATGGTGCTCAAGATTGACTCAGCCTTCCATCCTTCCAAGGTAGGTAAAATGAGGACCCAGATTACATTGTAAACTGCCCAGAGAGTGCTGTAAAGTTCCATGGGGCCGTATATAAGCTTAAATGCCATTGCTATTGCTATGTCGACTCATTCCTTTGAGAAGAATTCATATTTTCTCATAAATATAAATCCAATGTACTGTTTTATGTGGGAAGATTGTTTTAAAAAGAAAATAAATGAAGCATCTCCCAACCTATTTACAGACAGTAAAAATCTCAGTTTAATAAACATTTAATAAATTTCAGATGCAATTGATAAAATTTCCATTCAACTGTCACTTTAAAACGGGCAATCAGTTGTATCAAAAGTAGCCAAGATGAGGCAGCTTGATTTACATTTAAGATATTTATTTATTTATTTCATTTTTATCCCACCTATATTGTTTTTATAAAGAATTGAAGGTGGCAAATATACTTAATTCTCTTTCCTCCTATTTTTCCTACAACAACCACTCTGTGAGGGTTGACACATTTGCATAAGTTGCATAAATATATCATTATACTAATAATTTAAATCACCATGAATGTCATACCTTTGGATTTAATGGACATTCAGAAGAAACACCACCTCTTTTTGAATTAGTTCATTAATCAAAGGGTTATACTACTGAAATTTAGTTGTAATGATATTCTGTTAGCAACAGAATCAATATCCCTAATAAATCCATTAAATCCATAAATCCAAATAAATTGTCCCTCCTATTCGGTTTCCTACTCCAGCTATGCTATAGAGACCTAGGAAACTTCTTCCCTGGAAATTGGAGAGGCAGGTTTACTGCTATAAATGGTGAAAGAAAAAACCCAGATTTAGAATAAGTTTGTTTATGCAGTTTCAGAATTAGCCCAACTTTGGATGTAAAGAAGATGCTTATCCCACTTTGAGAATTATTACGTTCTTATTCTGTCTAGAAATCATCTGTATCAAATAGGTAATTTATCTATTAGCATAACAACAATTTCAGTTCTGAAAATAGCATCAGAAATGGTGTAGACCAACACATTGGCTCATTATTACTAAACGACAGTATGAAATATCTAATACAAGCATGAAATAGGAGCAGAAATCCTCAATTATCAGCATCTCTCTTGAGCTCTTTAAGACTTCAACATAGCTATCCAGGAGCAGGTGGAAGAAGCGGACTAACTCTAATACATAGGTAACTGAAAAAATGTTTGTAAATCCTAAAAAATAATAAAATCTTTTTTCAAGCATTAATAAGCACCAATAAATTCTATATAACCCTCCATGTTTCTTGGCGAAAGTAGGATCAAACTTCTTATCCAAGAACTATTTTCAATCCAACTTCATTTTTAACATAAAGGATTTAAAACCTCTCTTCCCAGAGCAAGAATAGATTGCTGATTCTGAAAAAAAAATCAGCTTAATTTTGATCAGCCTTGAACAGACTTCAGCAATTCCACCATCTAGTGGCTAGAAACATTCTCAGCAACCACATAAGGATGGAATTATTTATACTGCTAACAAGATAATGCTGATTTCTTCTTAATTGGAGGATGTGGATGGGAGAGAGAGAAAGAAAGGATTGGGAAGATAAAGCATTATCTAGGACTCTGATGCCGTTAATAGTCTGAAAGAAACCATTTCACACCATACAATAAGTAATGGTCTTTCTGATACTTAAAATAAAACTGGAAATCACCTTACGTGGTCATGTTAGCAGAATAATGAATACAATGCTTTTGAATTTAAAATAAAGAATAGCAGATTTGTCAACATTAACAAGCTCTAATAAATAAATAAAAATGGTTAGAATTATAGTGTTTATCGTTCCCCCCCATGCTATTTTTTTAATCCTATGCTGCAATAAGGAGCCATTGGTGGAATTGACATCTTAACAAACACGGGTTCTCTAAAGCATTTCAGGCTGAAGTACGGAGAACATTTTATCTCTAGCCAAGTGGTAGACCTTTGCTTAATGCTCGTGCCCCAGGGATGTAGAGTTAATGAGACACAGCGAAAGGCAAATGGTTTAGAAATAAGTTTACAAAGGAACTCCAGAGTCGAACAAAAGAAAATCAGTTTCCCAAAAAATGTGCATGTAGTTTATACACTTAAAACATATATAGCACAAGAGGAAATCTAAGTTATTTAGTTCTGCCAGAGAACCCTTACTAAAAACGGTATATGTCTTGTTTATTATTATTTTTATTTGACATGCAACAATGTATGTCAAAAACAAAGTTATTTCAGCATAGCTAGTAAACCAACAAAACAGCTTTTCTGTCTTTAAATATATTATTCCAGAGACACAGTGATGTCCAATGAAGCCGAGTTCAGAAATAAACTGCCTCAAATAAAAGAGGCAAATTTTACAGCTCCATCCTCCATATTCTTTTCCTATAGCATAGGTTGTGGTAAAATGTCTTTTCCCATTTTCCACACTCTTTATCATTTACCTATTCCAGACCCCTCTGGCAATCTGATGTGATGTGTACATTGGTTTCTGGGGTGCTGTTATTCAGCACCTGTGGCAACTGAAAAAAGGATGGGACGCTATCTCCATTGTTAACGTCATCATTACCTCTACCTAAAACGGTAAGAAAATTAAGTATTTTGAAAATAGGGAACGAATGATTTTTGAAGAGAGTCAACATGTAAGATAGACTTTTCTTAATCATCTCCCCAAGAACAAAATACTGTATTACAGAATGTTCTATAATTACAGAAACCCTCTGGGTCAAAGAGTATTTCTCTAATAATGAACTCATTACTCCCTCCTTTAAACACAGGGAAAACACGAAGAGTTATTGATCACTTCACTTCAGACTGAGTTGGAGCGAGTGATAAACTCATTGTGTCATGTTCTGATTCTTCTAAATCACAGGTGTCAAAGTTAAGTCACGTTGCCGTCAAGTTGCTGTCACATGACGTATTGTGACATTTTTTCCCCCTTCGCGGCGCTGGGATGGACGTGGCCTGTGTGTGACCCATCCAGCCAATTTGATACTCCTAAATTATTGTTGACTTTTTCGGAACTTTTGATCATTTCTTGTCTTTTTATTGTATTTTTACTGCGTATTATATGAGTTTCCCAAAGTCATAACACACTGAAGCAATCTATATATTTCATAAATAAAATAAATATAAAATAAGTATGTCCAATTATGTCACTCAGAAAAAGCAAGGGTCAAGCAATCAGATGGACGTCTTGATGTCTCTACACTTAAATAGAAAAGAATCTATATTTTATTATTTAAAATATTTGTTATTTAAAACTATATCCTCATTTAAATGCTTTGCCTCACTTTCTTACATCTCTCTCCTTTTTAAAAACACCATACCTTTTAGAAGGGTCTTTTTGAAGACACAAGGAAATTAGTTTTCTAAAGGACTTGCCATATTTCTTGGTCATTTCTTTGTCTTCTACTCCTGTTTCCAGGATTGGAGGATCATTCTGCAAGGTCAACATTAATACCTATTTTTTTTTAAAAAAAGAAGAAATTAGGAGAGTAGTCTTGGCCAAATTAACCATGATTTAAATAATGCTAAATTACAATATTATGTAAAGAAAGCTAGACAATAATTTCAACGCGTACATAATAAAGTAGAAACACAAATAAATACTCTTGACTCTAAACTACCGTACCACTTTACAGAATATATACCAATCCATTTGAAACTAGGCATGAAGGCCTAAATATACCGTGTTTTTCGGAGTATAAAATGCACCAGATTATAAGACGCACCTACCTTTTTGGGGAAGGAAAACAAGAAAAAAAAAATCTGCTTCTGCCTCCCAGCAATTTGCCTCCTTGCAGCAAACAGCCCGTTTCAATTTCAGCTTCAGCACAGCCTGATTAGCACAAGCAGCTAATTGTCAGTTGGATCGGCCTCCTGAAGATCAGCTGTTTCAGGCTGCAGGGATTGCCATAGCCCAGCGGTTCCCAACCTGGGGGTCGCGACCCCTTTGGGGGTCGAACGGCCGTTTCACAGGGGTCGCCAAAGCCCTCTCTCGCCCCCCCCCCACGCCTTCACTCACCCTCACCCTCTGCCTCTGTTGGATCGCCCGGTCGCCGTTCGCTTACCCCGCCCACTCCCAATCTATTGCTGCCTCCGGAGTCCCAGCTGATGGCTAGAGGGAAAAAAACTTTAAATTCTTGCCGCGGGGCTTCAAAGAGCTAGCTGCAAAGAGGTAAATTCCTGGAGCAAATTTTTTTCCCCCTAGCTATGCTGAAAAAGCGAAATTGAAAGTAAAGAAGGGTCTTTGGTGCAACGTGACAAAATGAGGCAGAGAGATTTCTTTTTCTTTTTCCTCATCAAAAAAGGTAGGTGCAAAACTGCAAACAATGGGAAATTTAGGGCAAAAGAGGAGGTTCAAGATTTTAAAACACAAAAGAAAAAAAGCTCTATTTAACTAGGGAATTGTAATAATTGAGATACTATTAATTGTATATTGTGTTGAAAGCAGAAATGGTTAAGTTGTGGTTTGGAGGAATATATGGGGGAAATTATTTGGTTTATTATTATTGGTAAATATAATTAATTGATTTGTAAGAAATTGGATTGCATGGAAATAATTGGAATATTCATGTTCATATTGATTAATATACAAAAAAGATAGTTATATAACTAATTGATTTATATTAAAATGTTGAATTTATATTAAACAACTGTAATATTACATAATTAACCAATGTGAGGATGGATATAAAAATAGATGACAATGCGAAGGGGTATAATATAGAATAGAAGGGAAAAATTGAATTTGATTAAGATTAGAGATGAGGATGAAGGGTAATATTGGTTTTTTTAAAAAATAGATGAGGAATAAATATGGTAAAAAGGAAATATAGAACTTGTAAATTAAATTGAAATGACTAAACACTGTGTGGGAAGAAATATCCTTCTGGGTTCTGCTCCAAGTGGGGAAAAAGACACTGGAAACATGGAGACTGCTTGGAAAGATGGTTTAATGGTGGACAGGATCACATGGCTTGAGTTCCTGAACAGAAAAGGGGCAGATACAGTAAATCCTCGGGTTTTTATGCTCTTTCTGGCTTTGCATTTCTTGGGGCCCCGAAAGAGTATCCTGATTGGTTGTCAGACTCCCAGGGGGTGGGGGTCTTAGCTAGCCTTGCTGGCTGATGGTCACATGCTTCCCAGGTCACGTGTGGTGAGTTTCGGTTGCTAGATGGGGCCCATTGTGTTAGTTTCTGTTGCTATTGTGTTGCAAATGTCCTTTGACAAAGGATTGACTTTCTGCCTCTGGCCCATTAACAAAGGTGGTGGGCAGGAAGGTGGGAGCCGCTTTGTCTGTAAAATATGCTTCTCCATTTCTCATCCAGGGAAATATAATATTCTGCCTTTTTAATATTTCCCAAAATATTTCATTCTTCTAGGGAAGGGGTGGGTACTAACCTCCTACAACTGTTTAAATTTGTGAACCGGCCAAATACTCTGTTCAAAGAAAATACGTTGTATGTTTGCATATGTGTTTCTAATTATTGCTATTTATTGCTATTTGTTCTCTTTTATTCTTTAAAGTTTAACAATTCATTCTTTATCTTAATATCTTTATATTTGTTTGGGGTTGGCTTTCTTCCCTTTCATCTTTTTTATTGTACAGCAATCTTTCTCCTCAAACCTACCACCTCTGTCTTTTCTTTCCTTCTTACTTTCTCTTCCCCCCCACTTCTTCTTCTCCCTACTTCCTCTTTCTTTCTCCTTCTCCTCCTCTCTTCCTCTCTCTCTTACCCTCACTCCTACTCTAATTTCCCTTCCCTTCCTTCATCCCTCTCTATTGCTGTATCCTTTTATGCATATGGACTACTCAGAGGGCTGAAAAAGTTATTTTTGACTGGTCCTCGCACTTTTGACCAGTCCTCGAATTTACGACTGTCCTCACAATACGTTTTTGCCTTATCTTATCACCATGGTGAAGAGAAGCAGTTGTGAAATGAGTGACACGGTTATTAAGAATGGTACAATGGGCATAAATGATGACCAGTCGTAACTGCGAAGACCGGTCAAAAGTGCGAGGACCTGTCAGAAATCACATTTTTCAGCCCCCTGGGTAGTCCTTTTGTGCACAGGGACTACTCAGAGGGCTGAAAAAGTTAGTTTTGACTGGTCCTCGCACTTTTGACCAGTCCTCGAATTTACGACTGTCCTCACATTTTACGTTTTTTGCCCTATCTTATATCATGTTGAAGAGAAGCAGTTGTGAAATGAGTGACATGGTTGTTAAGAATGCTGCACAGGCATAAATGTGAGGATGGTCATAAGTGTGAGGACCAGTCAAAAGTCCAAGGACCTGTCAGAAATGACTTTTTTCAGCCCTCTGAGTAGTCCCTATACACATAGCCATGGCCACCCGGTCACATGACCAGCTAGCCACGCCCACCCAGTCACATGACCTCCAAGCCATGCCCACAAAATAAGCCACGCCCACAGAACCGGTAGTAAAAAAAATTAGAACCCACCCTTGGTTGGGGGTCACCACAACATGAGGAACTGTATTAAAGGGTCGCGGCATTAGAAAGGTTGAGAACCACTGCCATAGCCTATTGCCGCCTCCGCATGTCCCATTTTCCGGGGGGCCAGTGGGTGGGCGGGGTTACATTCGGAGTATAAGACGCACCCAAATTTTCACCCTCTTTTATGGGGGGGGGGGAAGTGTGTCTTACACTCTGAAAAATACGGTAAATGACAATTTCAGAAATTAAAAATAACCCTGAAGATTTGGGGAGTGGGACCGGTGGGACTAGAAAGTCTCAATTTTCAAGTGGCCACCTGAATATGGATTATGGCACTAATCAACATCTTTCATTCCAGTCTACCTCAGGTGTTCTGAAGAAAAAACAAGAAGAGATATTCACCATCCAGAGATCCTTGATAGGACAAGTATTAAGTAAGAAATAACAATTTTGGAACCTTTAATATCATGGAGTAGGAAAGATCTACAGGTAATCCTCGATTTATGACTAGTGGAAGTTATGATGGAGCCCCTAAAAGCTACTTATGAACCAGTTTCCAAAATTACAACATCTGCTTTCCCCAGTCATGTGACTTCATTTGGGGGCACTCAACAACCAGACCATATTTACAGCCATTGCCAGCATCCCGAGGCCAAATGTTGCAACATTCATACACATACATAAACTAAGCACTCTTGTGCTGACTTGGACCAAAGAACTATAGGTATGTAGTACCCAGAAATACAGGTAGTATTTCTTGACTTATGACTACGACGGAGCCCAAAATTTATGTCGCTAAGTGAGACAGTTGTTAAGTTGGCTTTGTCCCATTTTACCACCTTTCTTGCCACAGTTGTTAAGTGAATCAGTGCAGTTGCCAAATTAGTAACCCTGCTGTTAAGTGAATCTGACTTCCCCATTGACTTTGCTTGTCAAAAGGTCACAAAAAATGATCACATGACCCCGGGACATTGCAATCCTTATGGATATAAACAAGTTGCCAAGTTTCTGAATTTTGATAGGGGATACTGCAATGGCTCTGTGAAGAACGGACATTTTCAGTGCCGTTGTAACTTCAAATAGTCACTAAACATACTGTTTTAAGTTGAAGACTACCTGTACCATCATTTTTAAATCACAAAGGGAGGCAACAACCACACCTGGCTAAAGAAAACCCTGTCTAAAAAGATCACTGGAGATGGAGACAAAAGTAGACAAAAAAAATGGAGAGGTGAGATGGCAGGGAATCAACCTCTTTCAGCCCCTGACAGCTTATATCTGGGAGCATTAATTCTAGTTATTAATAAATTAATAAATTAATAACTAGAATCCTAAGCCATGTCCCAGCTACTACGAGGTCAGCATACACTTCTGATGCAGATCTCACTTGTACAAGCTCTAGACCCAAACTTGAAAAGTTAGTTACGCAACTTTAGATTTCATGCTTATTTTCCAGCTAGGCTTACTTTCATTGGAGGGTATTTGTGGTAAGGTGCTGCTCCTGTGGCTAATTCAATGGCTGTTATTCCAAAGCTCCAGATGTCAGCCTTGAAGTCATAGCCTCTCACCTATCAAAGGGAAATATAAAACAGAAAAGTTAATTTAGCAATGGTATAGTAAATCAGTATATGACATAATAGGGTGGCACGGTGGCGCGACTGTTAAGATGTTGGGCTTGTCTGGCAGCCTCAGTTCAAGACCCAAGTGCCACGTCATGGGGTGAGCTCCTGTCCTCGCCTCAGCTCATGCCAACCTAAAAGTTCAAAAGCATGCAAATATAAGTAGATAAATAGGTACCACTTCAATGGAAAGGAAACAGCGCTCCATGATGTCATGCTGGCCACATGACCACGGAAATGTCTTCAGACAGTGCTGGCTCAATGGCCTTGAAACGGAGATAAACACTGCCCCCTAGAGTCAGCAACAACTAGCGATGTCAACCCTGAAGCGAACCGGGCTGAGGCTTCATGGTTGCCGCAAGGCAGAGGGAAAGAAAGAGAGGGGAAAAAATTGGATAGCTCGGCTTTTGCTGTCAAAATAAAAAATTTTCTTGTGGGAACCAAGGGCATTCCAACAAGTGGCTGGGAAGAGGAGGAGTGGAGTAACCAGGCAACCAGGTATTGGACAATGTGATTAATGACTTGGGGGAAGGGGGAACTTTCACTTTTTAATTAGGTGAAAACTGTAGCAACTTTCATATTAGCACCAGTTGTGCCAATATGATATATCCAATAAATTGTTCTTTGAGGAATCTACCTGCCTTGGAGTTCTGCTTTCAGTGGGTGCCTTACTCGGAATGCTGACAAACGGAGTAAAATCCACAGGGACTCCTTTACCTTTTATTTATATCACATAATAAACATCTGGGTCTTATACCTGTTCCATGACTTCAGGAGCCATCCAACACGGAGTGCCAACAAAGGTCTTTCTTACTTTGTTACGGGTTACATCACCTCCTGTGGCTAAAAATGCACTAACTCCAAAGTCTAGGAAGAGAAAACACAGACATTCTTTTAGCATTCAATCAACTCTGATTCTAAATGTGAAGCTCCTATTTAAAAGCATGCAGCTTCAGTATGAGACTCCTATTTACCGTATTTTTTGGAGTATAAAATGCACCTTTTTCCCCCAAGAAAGAGGGTGAAAATCTTGGTACGTCTTATACTCTGAATGTAGCCCCGCCCAACTTCTCAAATGGAGGTTTCAGAGGCTGAAAAAAGCATCAGAAACAAAGCTTCAGAAAAGAAGTCCCCAAACAGAGCTTCAGAGGCTTTTTTTCTGAAGCTCTGTTTCGGAAGCTTTCAGAGGCAGGAAAAAAAGCAAAAAAAAAAGCAAGGCACAGAGCTCACAACCAAGGAACCTGTTGCTAAAAGTCACCTCTGGGAACAGCTGATTGGGGGTATTCTGGGAGGCCGATCTACCTACTAATCAGCTTTTTTTTTTTATTTTCCTCCCCAAAAATTAAGGTGCGTCTTATACTCCGGTGCATCTTATACGCCGAAAAACACGGTAAATGAAGCGGTTAATTTAATGTTTACTCGATAGCTAAAATGTTATGTAGGTTTTAGAAATGAGACATCTCTCTTCCATCTATGAATCATGTCTGTAAACATTTTTAGTCTCCTTCATAGCACCATAAAATCCATACAGAGACTAAACAAGGAACCTGTTTGTTTCACGCTACCGGTTCAGGTCAACATTCCCCTACACTCAGTTCAGAATGTAAAGATGCTATTATTAGGTCCGCATCAAAATTCCAGCAGGGTAGGAGCAAAAAAAAAAAAAAGGGCAGCCTGACATCTATTTCTGCTTCAAATGTCTTATGAAGACATAAGATCAGAGGGAAAATGTGAACAGCCATGCAAAGCTTCGGGGGAAAAGAAACCCGATTAAAGGGTCAAATGTTGCAAGGGAAGTGTAGCAACAGTGTCTGCGCAAATCAAGAAATAGCTACGGATCACATCTTACAATGAGATTCTGGCCTAGATGGAATATGTTATAGTAGCGAACTAGGTGGCTTTAGGAATGGAAGGAAATGAGTCACAGGCAAGAAATGGGAGCAAGAAGTAGATTCCTACTATCAGGCAAAAAATGTCAATGGCAAGACGTTCTTATGACACAGGGAACATATGTGCACACGCTTGTATGCAGGACTCCCTATACCCAGATGTGGGTTTCAGCAGGTTCTGACCAGTTCTGGAGAACTGGTAGCAGAAATTTTGAGTAGTTAGGAGAACCGGTAGTAAAAATTCTGACTGGCCCCTCCCCACATCTATTCTCTGCCTCCCAAGTCCCAGCTGATCGGGAGGAAATGGGGATTTGGCAGTATCCTTCCCCTGCCACGCTCACCAAGCCACGCCCACCAAGCCACACCCACAGAACCGGTAGTAAAAAATTTTGAAACCCACCACTGCCTATACCTATCAATGTGCATGTGTGGAGGAGGGCAGCACCATATTCGAATCATCAGCAGTGACCCCATCCTTATTCTTTTTGTAAACACATCTCGATTCTAAAGGTATGGATTGCTGGTTGCCTATCATTGCTAGAAGATTGTTTAGGAAGACTTGCCTCCCAGAAGAATGTAGACAGCGCTATGCATAGTTCACACACGAATATTGCCACTTCTGAGATCAAGTCATGTGCTTATATAAAAGCAGGCATTCACTAGACGACAAAATACCAAATGCAGTATAAATCAGTTACATGTAGAGATGAACTCCTAATAGGCGCAGTGGTTAAAGTGCAGTACTCAGGCTACTTGTGCTGGTTGCCTGCAATTTGACAGTTCAAATCTCACCAGGCTTAAGGTTGACTCAACCTTCCATCCTTCCGAGGTCAGTAAAATGAGGACCCAGATTGTTGGGGGCAGTATGTTGAGTCTGTAAACCACTTAGAGAGGGCTGTAAAGCACTGTGAAGCGGTATATACATCTAAATGTCACTGCTATTCAGGCTGCAGATGTACAATCAAACTTATTGTTTATTACCTATTATTTCTTTTCACTATACTTTTTGAAAGTGCAGTAAAGGCTATTTCAAGATATGTGGTGCTAATTTGTGCTTCAGATTCACATTATATTCCTCTTTCTGGGATTACCTAATGCTTTGTACCTGACATTACCTCTGAAGTAGGCTGGACCTTTCACTTAGTCCAAACTAGAGGTGAAAGCTTACCAACTGGTAACGATGGGGACAGGATGTTATGACCACAAGATACCATTGTCTTGACTAACTGTGTGGGTTCAAGCCCAAGTCTTGGTGTTTTATTAACCCCTGAATGTTTTGGTGTCCGAGAATGATTTCTTTGGCTATCTTTGGAGATGCAGTCCTTCTCTAATGAAGTGGGACGATGATCTTGCATTTTTGTCCTATTTGTGAACTACTTGAAAACAACAGGCTGGGCTCAACATATTCATCTAACAGGGTTCTTATATTCTTCTTTAAATAATTTAACTAAGTACAGAACATCTGCACCCATCTTGAAATCATAGAGCACTCTTATGTTCAGACAAATTTTTTTAAAAAGCATCCCAAAATACACAATTAAAATTACTTATTTTAAACAGGGTGATAGTTGTAACAAATAGAATTTTACAACTCTTTGCTGTGAGCCAATACATATGAATTATGCATATCAATATGCATTCTGGTCTTAAACTTGCAAGGAAGGAATGAAGTCATTTTTCTTAGCAAGTTTTTTTCCCCCCAAAACCACAGGAACTATTTGAAGCTAGTAATGCTTATATAATATTCAGAAACAATCACTTCTTAATAACTGAACGCGCTACATCAAAGCAAAGAGGGGATTTCTCCTTTCCATTCTATATTAATGTGCAATTTAATTCTCTTTAGTTCCAACACTTTGGACGACACAACAAAAGTCATAAATCTAAGTGCTAGTCTACATTTATTACAGCAATTATTTCTAGGTTGCAATGTTACCATTCATAAGTTAAAATATCACTAGCAATTACACATCCAAAAAAAAAAAAAAGAAAAGAAAGAAAGAAAAAAAAGAAAAACTCTTTTTCAGTAATAATTTGGAACTATAATGCTAAAGGATAGACTAATTTATACCTAGTCTTTCTCCAACTCTTAGCTGCTGGGTTGACTTCAAAGTACTATTTCAGGTTTTTAACATGAGTACTCAAACAGTATCACCCATTATTGCCAGCATTCTCAGGCTGTCTAATGCCCTTACAATCTGTTACAAGATGTGTCCCTGAAACAATTAAAACTGCTTTCCCATTGCTTTAACCTATTCATTCCTGCCCTCTTAACAGCATTTTAAAGGTTGTGAAAATGTAGCACCCAGCTACAGCCACTAAAAAGTAAACGCACAATCACTCACCTACATTACGAAATGATACAATCCCAACTGTTCATATTTAACAATATTAAACCCATTAGATCATGGGTGTTAAACTCGTGGCGTCACGCTGCCATCATATGACATATCGTGACTTTTTTCCCTTCGCGGAGCTGAGAGGGGCGTGGCATGTGATGCATCTGGCCTGTGGGCTGCATTAAATAGTGATGTAAATTATTTTTTGTGGAAAAAAATCTTCTTTTTTAACAAACAAAGGATAATTAGAAGAGTGACCGTTTTAAAATTTCTGCAAATATTTTCAATATGTGGCAATATTTTTGATTTCACCATTCTCTGAGAGGGTCTTGAGGGATCTCCAGGGATCCTCACACCACAGTTTAAAGAAAAACTGAGCTACAGTGAAAATATGCAAAGATAGAAAGATGAGCGACAATGTTTTCAGGAAACACAACACACTTTCACTGAATGCAGCATCTTTATCAGGGCCTGCTTCTGTTCGGTCACCTCCAATGAAATCTCTCTGTTATACAATCATTTCAACTGTCTAAACTCTTTGTAACTTGGAACAAAACTATAGCGATGTATATACTCACATTCTGTTTTGAAAAGCAAGGCTCTCATTAAATAACACAGTTAAAGGTTTAACGAAAATGATTTGTCAGGAACAAACTGAGCATTGGATCCAAGGTAATTTTGAAAGAGAAGAATGAAGATCACTTAATAGCTCTGTTTATAAATATATTTCCTTAAACTGTCAATCACAGTTCTGGTGGAAACGTTATCATTACTAATTCAACACTGGTCAAATGGTATTTTTATTTGAGCTTTATTTTCCAATAGAAAATGAATTGCCAGAATTTGCAGTTGTTACAGGATACATGCACAGCATGCTGCAAACCTAAGTAATAAGACACTGTACATGCCTTGATGGGCAAAGCAATAAAAATATTCTCAATATATTAGCAGGGTTTCTTTTGTACTTTTTTCTACCTCCAACCAAAATAATGGTTCTTTTTGGATCTTTATATCATGGCTTGTGTCTAGACCAGTTTGCTTAGTGATTAAGGTACCAGGCTAGAAACAGGGAGATGGTGAGTTCTAGACCTGACTTAGGCACAAACCAGCTGGATGACCTTGGGCCAGTCCTTCTCTCTCAGCCCTAGGAAGATTGACGATGGCAAACAACTTATGGAAATCCTTGCCAAGAAAACTGCAGGCAGTCATCAGGAGTCAACATTGCCTTAAAGGCTAAATTAGCTCATTGAAGCCAAAGTTTGCATTGTCACCAGCGCCGCCATATTGATTGTCACAAACCATTTTATTTTTATTTAATTACATTGCCTCATGTCCATTCTTTCCAGCAATGTGTATATGCCAGCCAAGCTAACATCCAATGAACTCAAATCCTATTACACATGGTTGTACTATAATCAATCTGTTAATATTGAAGAGGCAGAAAGATTTAATTTGTTCAACTACAACACATTTATTTATTTATTACATTTTTATCTTGCCCATCTCATTGACATAGCAACTCCAGGCAGCTTATAATATAATAAAAATTCTAAAAGATAATATGAGGCAATTAAAATGAGGAGAGTTAAATAGGAAAGCTAGAAACCAAGACGATGGATGACCTGGGGATGGGGATCTT